CGAGGAAAAGTACTTTTTCCTCGTAAGCTCCTCGTAAATTTACTAAGGTCTTACGAGGAAAGTATTTCCTCGTAAGTTTTCGAGGAACTTACGAGGAAATTTGCTTTCCTCGTAAGATCCTAGTAAATGCTTAGTAACTTTACGAGGAAGAATTTTCCTAGTAAAATTTCCTAGTAAATGCTTTGTTTTCTTGTAGTGTTTTGAATCAAACCTTCGGTTTATTTTTATTTTATTCTAACTATAATATATATTAAGTTATACATAACCTTACTAAATTATATTAAATATCTAAGACAAGAACTAACTTAAATGCTAATAAGAAAATAAATCAAAAATTTAATATAGTTAATTACATAGATTATGTATTTCTCAGTGATTTCCGACAGGAACTGTTCAAGCTCCAAGGTTATTCTCTGAATATGTCAATTGCTCATCATCCACTGAGTGATGGTTAGATGGAGGTGGTGAATATGTGTTTGGAAACGTATCTCATATGCATGACCATTGATAAACCATATTTGTGGAGCAAGTGGTTATCGTTAGCGGAATATTGGTACAATACCAACTATCACACTTCGGCTACCACAATACCTTATGAGGTAGTTTATGGTCAACTCCCATCGTCCATTTATCTTATCTTCCTGGTGAGTTGAAAGTGCTAGTGGTTGCTAAGAGCTTAGAAGAGCGAGAGAAGATGTTACTAAAGTTTCATCTCATGCGAGCTCAACATTGTATGATGCAGTTAGCTGATAAGCACATAGGTGATAGAAGCTTTGAGTTTGGAGCTTGGAGCTTGGGTGTTCTTGAAGTTACAGCCATATCGGCAACAATCTGTTGTTAACATAACTTCACAGAAGATATTACCTAAATACTATGGTCCTTACAAGATTCTGGACAAGTTTGGATAGGTAACTTACAAGCTTCAGTTACCTGCATCTTCGCAGATCAACCCAGTTTTTCATGTGTCTTAGTTAAAAAAACTGGTGGGTGGTGTATCAACTACTACTCAACTTCCTTCGGTGCTTTATGCAACCTTGATTAACACGCCTGAGTACATAATGAAAAGGTGTGGTCAAGCTTCTAGTATGGTCTTGGTCAAATGAGCAAATCAGTTAGAAGAAGCCACATGGGAGTATCTGTTTGACTTTGAGAAGAAGTATCCACATTTCTCGTAACCTTTTGGACAAGGTTCTTTGGACAGGCAGAGGGCGATTGTGTTACAGCAAAACGAGAGTGGAAGTTGAAGTCGTTAGAAGCTGTTAGCAAGATGGTTATGAGAGACAGCTGGCAACAATCTATTGGACGATCAAAAGAGGTCATTATTGTAGAAACATAGTCTAAAAACGGATTGTTGTTTTACTTTCAATTCAACCAGAATCATTTGTAAAACTTTCCCAAATTCTAATACAATTTTTTTGAGTTCTCATGTTTACTGAGTCTGAAGATCCTTTTCTTCACGAGATCTTCTATAGGTAGATTTCCTCGTTTTATGAATTGATCATAGGGTGAAACATCGGTTTAACTCTATCATAAAACAAGCAACCCCGCATTCTCAGCAAGGAATTGCTGAATTTGAAACCGTGATTGATTAGGCATAGGTATTTTGTGTCTTTGATTGGGTTCTGTGAAGATGATCTTGGTTTATGAGTACATGGCAAACAGAATTCCATCTAGTTTGGAAGCAACCTTCCTCTGTTATCATGAAAATAACGGCTTGAAGCTGTATAGGCTCTACACATGGATTGCATTACCTTCACTCATACAGGCCTTGAGAGAGGAATCATCATTCACAGAGATCATATTATTAGACGAGACGTTTGTGACAAAGATGTCTGATTTTGTACTGTCCAAAGCTGGACCATATTCATGTCAGTACAGATGTGAAAGGGAGTTTAGGGTATCTTGATCCAGAATGCTTCAGGAGGCAACAGTTGACAGAGAAGTCGGATGTTTACTCTTTTGGTGTTTTGTTTCTGAAGCTGTTATAAACCTGACTTTGCCTAAAGACAACCTTGCGTAATGGACTTAAGCTGGCAAAAGCAGATATCTCTTCGACTCAAATCTGAAGGGAATCTACAGCCCTGAGTCTTTGGAGAAGTATGGGGAGATAGCGGGGAAATGCTTAGCAGATGATCAGGCCAATGATGGGAGAAAACTTGTTTTCTGGAGAGCTCTCTTCAAGCTTGTTCTATCAAGATTCCTAAAGCCAAAAGAGGATCAACTCTTGGTGTAGAGGAAGCAATGGATTGACCATCCTCAAGAAAAATTTTTTGTTCTCTTAGTAATGGAGAAAAACTTCTTGAAATCTCAACTCACAATCACTTCAAAGTTTCAAAATAGCAGAGAAAAACTTATTGAAAAGAGTTACGACAAACACAGCAGGCTTAATGCTCTGTCTCAAGGCCAAATACATGTCTTAGCTAAAGGCAGAAAGGAACAAGAGTTACAGTACTTGTGTTTGAGAAGCAAATAAAAAAGAGCGACTGTCAAAAACAGAAAATACAGTTTGGCTCCGCTCTTCGAGTTGTATAAAGCTTCAAGATCCGGAGAGAATACCAGAGATAAGTAGACAAGATGAATCTCATTTCTTCCCACCACCAGAAACGTTGAACTTGAAGAAAATGATATCTCCATCCTGAACAACATATGTTTTCCCCTCCTGTCGGTATTTTCCTGCGCCCTGCAATAGTTTACAGGATTCAAATTAGACTCTACCGTTATATCCGTGATTCATAGAGATTTTCAACAGCATGCGATTAATTTTCTTCAAACGAGGACATATTGCATGATGGAGAGCTTCCTTAACATCTTCAAGTCTGTTTTTAGAGACTACTTACGAGATAGGAGGAAATGGAGTTTTAAACAAGTACCTTGACTGCAGTTTCATTGCCAAGTTCTTTGAGATCCTCAAATTTCATGACCTGTTATATCAACCACAACAATGGTTGGAATAAACCACACCGAATAGACAGAGCATTCAAATTACTGTATTGATAAGAGAAAAGAGAGAAGGCAACCTCAGCACAAATAAACCCTCTCTCAAAATCAGTATGAATTGCTCCTGCAGCTTGAGGAGCCTTTGACTGACGTCTTATTTGCCAGCACTTAACCTGCAAACCAAAATAACATTGATGGAAGTGGTTTTAGATCCATCAGACTCCAGTGAATTCAACACTTGGCACTTTACACTGACCATACACTATCAAAAAGCTCACTACAGAGAAATAGAGATTAAACCGTTTTGTGAAGTCAAGTAAATAAAATACCTCATCAGGCCCTGCTGTAAAGAAGTATATAAGGTTAATAGCTGAAAATCCAGTTTTGATGATCCTCGGAAGAGCACTGTCAAAGAAGCAATGGGCCATTAGAATCATATAAACGGGTTCATAAAACAAAAATCATCTTCAGAAACAACTATTCATCTGAAGGAAGGCTATGCCGTTCTTCTATTACTAACCTTTGCAGTTTGTTCTCCTCACAATACTTTGCTGCTTCATCTGGGAGCATATCAGCGAGGCTCCTCTCAAAAACACCACTGAAAGGAATCATAGTATCACCACCGTGTTCTTGAACCCTACACAACGATGAAAACAAATTGTTTTAGTTTAGGAGAAGTATTATAGCAATGGGAAGCAAATGCGTTGTAGTATGTGCAGCGGGTAAAATGTTAGCTTATCATTCAACATATGTAAGTACCAGGCATGAATCTTCGGCAAGAACTTGTTTTTCTTCCTCTGGTAGTCTCTCTCATTCATGTTAATCTGTAAGTTACGTTTGAGAGCAATCAGTGATCATAAAAAGTCCAAACGCTGAAATGAAAAATTCAGTTGTAACAAACTTGTAAAGCATAGAGATTAGAAAAGCTAAGGAAAACATTACATGTTAAATTTGCGTGTAAAGAGTATCACAGAAAATAGACAGTATGCTTCTACATTACTGTGAGCTAAGCCGAGAAGATTTTTTAAAACAAAAATTGTTGACCATAGAAATGTAAGTATTCAAGATAACTCACCAAGTAAACAACGGGCTTAGCGGAAAGCAACTGGAAAGTGTTGAGAATCTCGATATCAGCTGCTTTCCAGTCTCCAAAACGGACATCCTTTCCTTCTTCCAGCCACGCTTTTACCTGTACCCAAGATATGCGGTCATTTTTCGGACAGTTAATAATTACAGAATTGCGTAAAATAACATTTTCATAAACATGCATACCTTTAGCAAAAGCTCAAGTTCTACTTTTAGAGCCTTATCATTGCTCCTCTTCATGCTCTTCTCGACATCTTCAATCTTCTTTTTAATGAATTCGATATCCTAAGGTACAGCAAAATAGTTCAGTAAGTTACCCGAAAAACATGGATGAAACAACTCAATCAAAGTCAGAGAAGCGTAATAGATTTGTTTTCCACCTTTAGACGCAATTCTTCAGTAATGGTCTCCAAATCTCTAACAGGATCAACAATATCATCGACATGAATAATATCTGGATCTTCAAACGCACCTGCACGTGTATAGTGAATAAGTAACTAACGAGAACAGAATTGACAAGATATCATATTATCAACAAAATATCTCGGTTTCTGAGGAACATCAAGATGCATTCAAGATGAAAAATATAAACTAGTTATTGCAAAATAGGATAAAAAAAGAAGAAAAAGATACAATACTTAAAATAAGCCTAAGGTCTTTGCTATTATTCAGTCAGGGATTCAACACAGTATAAGTAAAATGAACAGGGCATTAAATCACCATTTTAACCTCAAATGACACTAAAAACTAAGCAGGCAAAATTTAAAACGCATACGTAGGACATGGAAGATTCCATCAACAGCACGAATATGAGACAAGAAGTTGTTTCCAAGTCCCTGGCCTTCATGAGCGCCTCTAACAAGCCCCGCAATGTCATGTATTTCCAAGAAAGCTGGAATCTGAATACACACAAATCACAAAGAAGTCAGCTTGAGCACATTCATGGTTTAAATCACTTTCAGTATGCTCAAGAGCTTACCTCACTCTTCGGCTTGTACAATTGGCAAAGCCAATCGAACCTCTCGTCAGGGATATTCACACGTGCCTCGTTAGGCTCAATGGTACAAAATGGAAAATTCTCAGCTGGAATCGATAGCTTTGTAAGTGTGTTGAACAGAGTAGATTTCCCCACGTTTGGCAGCCCAACCTGACATGCCACAGTAACAAACACAGCAAAAAACGAACCATATATCATTAGAAGTATATAAAAGACACCCTTTTTTTTTAATGGATCTAAGGTTCGATTGATGAATTACAATTCCGATCTTGAGGTGAGAAGAGAAACGGCCGAGAATAGGCCTCTCTACGGGTCCTGCATCCTTTGCTTTCGCTTTCGGCGGCATATTTTCTCGAGCTTCAAAAGGAAATGCTAAGCTTGAGAGATATTCGCTTTAGGGTTTTTCTGATCGAACCTAGAGACGCCGACGCTAAGGTTAAAGAGGAGAGGAGATTGCTCTTCTGGTTAACGGACCGGTCTAAATTGGACCGACATTTCCCGGTTTGCGGGGGTATTTACCGCTATTATATATTTAACCAATTGTGGACAAAGTAAACCAAGTAATTCGATTCTCGCCAAAAGAACCCGATGATTTTACCGTCCAGTCATCCAGAATCTTGTTACCGTCCAACTCCACGCCTATATGTATGTTCTTGTTGGGGAAAATCCCATGAAAAACATTGAAAGTGGCAAATACTTCCACTTTAAACCTCCAAATATTATATTTCCATAATAAACCTTGAAATTAAAGACATTGTTAACAAAAACCTTGACATTGGCTCACGTGTTTTATATAATATTAAGATTGACAGAGTTATAAATTTTCTTAACGTCGTAACTAACTCCGTCTCCTTTTGGTAAAATATGTGCCGTACTGTAATTACTTATATTTTTAACAAATTATATTTTAAGATCCTTGTATCAGTTTAGGGTTGAACCGTCATCAGTGTTCGTGAAAAAACTTAATAAAAAACCTAAAGAGAAAACTAAAAGGTGAAGAAGAGTTCGTAGTATGTTATAGCCGACATGGAGTAAGATAATTATAATATTTCAATCTTCTTATTCCCGTTTACGTCTCATCGTGTCTGGTGTCTTCTTCAAAAAATATTTTAATCTTCTTATTCTAGTTTACGTCTCATCTGAGTATGATATGACTTTTTTCTTATGAATGGTGTATACTGATAAACTTTATTTGCTTACAATGCAGTGACGAAGAGACGTTGCAACTAAATATCCACTTTGGTGGAACAATGAAGAAAGAAGCTGATGATTACATTTATCTTAATGAGTCAGGCTTTACAACGGTTTTATGGAAAATGTCTGAAATCAATTGGAAGAAATTTAAAGATTTCAATAAAGCTGAAGGCAATGTGACAGTGTTAAGATTGATTTGGTACAAAGAAACAAGTGAGGAGATGAAGAATATCAATTATGTGTTTGAGGATATTAATGGTGATATCTCAGAGTTGTGTTCTGATGCGAGAATAGTAGGTGCGCTTGATGTTTTTTTAGAAAATGAAGATGAGAGTGGATATGTAGCTGAAGGAGAAGAAGGTGACGAAACTGATATAGACGAGAGATCAGCAGACGATGGTGATGAATCTGATGATGATAAACCACCAAAAGAAGTTGATGACCCTATGGAATCTGAGGATGAAGCTCATACAACTAAGAATAGATGTGATGATTTAAAAGAACTGCAGACTCGTGGTGATGGTTTTAATGAGAAGCAATATCGTGGCGGTGATAATTTAAAAGAAATTCAGGCTTGCAGTGATGATTTGAATAGGAAGCAAGATCGTGGTGCTGATTTAAAAGAAATACATGCTTGTGATTTAAGAGAAATTGAGGCTCATGGTGATGATTTTCAGAACAAGGGTGTTCATAATGTGGTGAACGATGGAGATGGGGTTATTTTAGATGCAGGAAATGGTGGTGGTGATAACAGATTTCAGTCTCTGTTTGAGGAGGGTACAAGAATAAATCCCAAGTTGAATGAAGTAACTCGTAGTTTAGCTGCAGAACAGGCAAAAGAAGAAAGGGACGAAGAAGAGTCTGATCCTGAATTTGGCTTAGAAGACGTCCAATATCCAGATACGCCGTTAAGTTCAGATGAAGAGTGGGAGCAGTGGAAAAATCCAAAAAGAGAAAAAGGAAAAGAGAAATTTCACGGAGATTTTGACAAAGAGCCTTACATATGGTTGTTTCAGAAATTTAATAGTGGATTTGAGTTCAAGGATCAGCTACTACGTTACTCATTGAATACTCAATATGATGTCAAAATGGCAAAATCAGAAGCAACAAGGATAGCTGCTATATGTTGCAAGAGTGACTGTCCTTGGAGAATATATTGTTCGGTTGAGCGGCCATTGAACAAGTGGATGGTGAAAGTTTGTCACAACAAACATAACCATGGAAAATCAAGTCGAGTATCCATGCTGAAGCAAGGTGTGATTGCTGCTCTGTTTAGAGAAGAAATTAGAAGAAATGTTAATTTACAAGCTGCAGAGATAAAAGACATGATAAAGGAACGTTATAACATTGTTGTGAATATTTCAAAGTGTTACAAAGCCAGAAAAATTGCTTTGGATACAGTATTTGAAGCTCAATCCATTCAATTTGGTAAGCTATGGGATTATGAGGCTGAGCTTAAACGATCAAACGAAGGTATCACTACAGAGATTTGCACTGCTGATGTCAATGGTGTACAACAGTTTGTTTGTTTCTACATTTGTTTTAAAGAATTTCGGATGACTTGGAAGAAATGTTGTAGACCAGTAATTGGCCTTGATGGATGCTTTTTAAAGTGGGATTTGGAAGGTGATTTGCTTGCAGCTGTCGGTAGAGATGCAGATAACAAGATGTATCCCATTGCGTGGGCTGTTGTTAAACGTGAAAACAAGGATACTTGGGGCTGGTTTGTGGAAAAACTCAAAATAGATCTCAACTTAGGAATAGGCAATAATCTTACTATCATTTCTGATAAGCAAAAGGTAATTTATTATATAACTAATTTTCATGGTAATATCAATGCTAATTATATAATCTGAACTTTGAGTTTCATGATAACATTTTTGTTTTCAGGGTATTATCCATGCCATAGCTGCTGAGCTTCCAAAAGCTGAACATCGTATGTGTGCAAGACATATATACGGTAACTGGAAAAAATCTTTTTCCCGGTCAGAATATAAAAATCTGTTTTGGAGTGTAGCATATAGCTATCATGAAGGGGAATATAAGGATAAAATGAAAGCGGTAGAGACATATGATCCATTTGCTTATGAGGCCTTGCTTAAAACAGAGCCAGAGAAATGGTGTAGAGCTTTTTTCAATCCAGAGTCGCATTGTGCTGATGTGCATAACAATCTATCTGAAGCTTTCAATAGGACAATCCAAATTGCAAGAACGAAGCCTATAATTAGTATGCTGGAGGACATACGAAGACAAGCAATGAAAAGAATATCGCGTAGATGGTTGCAAGCAGAGAAGTGTAACACCTATCTCACTCCAATTACAATGGCTATATTAGAGAAAGCAAGGGTTGCTAAAAAGTTTTGCTCAACAATACGCAGCAGAACAACTTTATATGAGGTAAATGATTTTGATGTTGGCTATACTGTTGACCTAGCAACACATCAATGTACTTGTCGCCGTTGGGACCTTACAGGTATGTAGAACCAACACAAATTATTTTTGATGTTTAGCTTTCATATCTCGCTGTTAACTTTTTCTAATGATTCTCTCATAATTAATCTATGTTCTGTATTGCTGTTTTTCATTTTAAATGTAGGAATACCATGCAAACATGCAATATGTGTGTTAGATGACAACCAAGACGATGCTGAGAAATATGTTTCTGATTATTATTCATCTTTATGCCTCCAAAACACATATGCTGATAACATCAGCCCTGTAAATGGTGAGAAGCTGTGGAATAAGGTAGATAAGCCTCCAATTGGAATACCCGACATACGTAAGCCAAGAGGTAGACCTAAAAAACGTGGCAGAAGAAAGGAACCTTTTGAATCACTAGAAAATCCAGGTAAATCTACAAGACACGGTAGAATCTCACATTGCAGCCGTTGTGGTCAAGCTGGGCACATTAAAAGCGGATGTAAAAATGAACCAGTCGTTGTAGAAGGCCCAAAAAATAGACGCGGTAGACCTCGTAAACATCCTGCAGAGGTATTTAAAATAAAAAAATTAATCGGAACTAGTTGGTGTGTGAAAGATTTTTGACTAGATTTTCATGATTCAGATTCACCCAAAGCGTCAACCAAAACCAAGAAAAAATAAAAACAGCCCACCAGTTGGATCTAGCTCTCAACCGTTACAAACAGCTCAATCAAGTTCTGCATTTCCTGCTGCTTTTAGTGCTCCACAGCAATCTGTCCCCTCCAACCAACCAGCCAAACATGTGAAGAAGGCTTCACGAGGACGGCCATTGAAGATAAGAAAGCTCGGTAACATTCCAAGTGGAAGTGGAACATTTTGGAGCCCCTATATAGATCGGCCTTTTGAAGTCTTTGGAAACAGATTTTATGATAGGTCTATCACTGATTCACAACCTCCAGAATAAAAACTTCGAATAGCTCTGATGTTGGGTTTCTATTTTTTTGGTTACTCTTACTTTATTTTGATTGCTATCGTATGAAATACAATGGAGTAGTTGATTTTAAACTTTTTTTGTTTTTAACATATGAAGGCCTCTTAAATTTTGAATCACAAGATTAAAATACTAAAACTATTCTTACTCTATTTTATCTCTGGGGAGATTTTTTCTTACATCTGATCCGCTTACAAGTAACAGTCCTAGCATAAGCCTCAAAACCAAGAACTGATACTCTCTCCTATTAGCAAAAGGAGCACAGCTTCTAAAAGTTTTGTAAGACTGACACTGCTTAAGCTTTCGGTGAGAGTCATCACGCAGATTCCTCTGTTTCACAGATGCATCAACAACATCTTCGTCACCCTCATCAAGGACCTGAAGGAAGGAATTCAGTGTTTCTTTGAAACCTAGAAAGAATCTACGCCCAATGCTTCTCGTCTGTTTGTCTCCGTTGTTCAGTTTATGTCACCATGTGCTATGGCAAGAAACGATGATGAAATTGCAACTCCGTAGGCGAAGAGGATGATCAGATACAATGGAGACCTTAGAGAAAGCATCTTTTCTTCGTGTCCTATGGTTTTCTCGTTAAAGTATTTTTTTTTTATTTCTTTCAGAACATATACGATGATTCTATTGAAAATATAAGTAATTGCAATAAAGCACACGTTTTATACGGATTTAGTTACGACGTTAACAGAGTTAATAATTCTGTCCATCCCAATATAATACAAAACAGG